AAATGTAGATGTCTATGGGCCACAGCAACCACTTGCTTTCAGTTGGACTGTGTGCTCGTTTGTCACCCATGAAAAAAGCAAATGCCGACTTCATCGGTCGTATTCGGTACTAACATGTAGATTATGTGGAAATTATTTTATTCTACAAAGGTCTTTGCAATCATTTTTTTCTCAAAGTTATAGTGCCTTATGCATTTTTTACCGACTTCAAAAGGGGGGATTTATTCAATTCGACTGTATGTTTTTATATGTCTCATCAATTTTTTCTGGGTGAATCGATTTTGATGATTATTTTTAATCTGAAATCTGGTGCTTCTTTTGAGTTCGCGGTCCGCGCCCTGCCATTAGGCTACTGTCGCTTATTAATTGACTTCGAGTACATTGATAGTGTTCTCATTTTAATTAAATTGAAGTCAGTTGTACATTTTTTTTTAATTTTACTACTTGTTTATGGAATAGGGTGACGAACAAGCACAGTCCACCTGATGGTAAGTGAATGCTGTGGCCCATGGACACCTACATCTGCCCTCGATTAAAAATCAAAATGCTGCTACATTATCACCCTAATAGTGTATACATCTCAAATGTTCTGTTTTTAAAAAGTATGTATATATGTATTTCCAAAGACTAAAACAATACTAATTTTGCAAAACCAACTGATCGTGTAGTGATGGATACAAAAACTTTTACTAGCTTTTTTAACAAAATTAATTCAGTGTGATAAATGAGGACATAACTTACCTGACGGTAAGTGAATGTTGTGGCCCATAGTAATCTTCATCTATCCTCTAAGAGTCAAAATTAAGTTGCGTTGTGACCCTTGATAACTAAGCTGGAATCCGTCATTTCCAGTTAAAAAGCGTCTCCAGTTCTCAACATTCACCATACGAAACACAGCACTATTAGCTGCTATTTTACGCTGGTATTCTGTGAGAGCGTGATTCTTTTCTGTGACCCATTTGTGATATAGCTGTATAGCTATAGCTATAGCATGGCTCAACCCCTAGTTGTATATATTACCCACATACTAAGCGTGGCAGTTAAATATCTATTTGAGACTAACAAAGTACCACGTACTTTTTAAGCAACGATGATGTGATTTAATTGCACTACATTGTGGTTGCTCTTAACCATTTTGGCGATTATACCATCCTTTTAGTAAAACTTACCGTAAGACCCTCGACTATGTGATCGAAAATCCAAGTCTTCATACAAAGTAAGATTGGTTGATAAACTTTAAAATATGTATCCGTTTTTCAATACATTGATAGATGTCTTGCAATGTTTTTGATTAAAAGTTTTATTGATACCAGTTTGGATTTTCGTGTATCTATTTTTAGGCGGGTACTTAGGCCCTGACCTAGCACGGCTATTTATAATTTTAAAAAACTAATCTGTATTTTAAATTTTAATCACAGATTATAATGACCTTCACTCTCGCGGATACAGTCTTTAGGTCATTAGATGTACATGGTGATCTCATAACTCATATTTCTTAAATAGCGGCGCTGTGACGTCAGCGGTCTTAGATAAAATAAAAATATTATGTGTAGGTACTTGTATTTCATTCTACTATAGTTTTATCATAAACAAGTATTTGGTGTGATAAACTTATTAAGCTGCAGAGGTGAGCAGGTGAGTGGTGAAATCAACAAAGCGCTTGAGAAGGAAATTTATCGACCAAATTAGCGATATATCGAAGATGAGCCAAATGAAGATAGCCTTAACCGACGAGCAAATATGCGAAGATATTTCAAACTAGAGAGGTGCGTCAGGATAATGTAAAATCGAAGTCCGTAGTTTCTGCCTAACCTTTTGGGTGACAATTTTAAGAAGTTATGTTAGTTAAATTGATCATAGTTAAAGTTTAAGCTAAAGTTACAGGCTATATACGTCTCACTGCCGGACACAGACCTCCTCTAATTTCTTAGAAGATTTATCAATTATCGAATCTATGTATTAATTTTGGAAAGGAAGTTAGTTTTTTGTTTGACAGCGATAGAATTTTTACAATTCGATAAAGAAATAAAAGTAATCTTCTTTCCATAAAAAATTGGCAATAGTACGTAATTTCCTTATTGCTTTGTTCTGAACAACGAAATCGCGTGATATAATAAAAAAATATCACCTTGTCGCCGTTGAATCGAATTGCTTGATATCGGAAATATTGCAAGGTTTCAATTTAGGTAACTGTGCCGTGATGTGACAGAAGTAATATGTTTCTTTTTAGAATAAGGGTGACAAACGAGCACTCAGTTCATCTGATGGTAAGTGGATGTTGTGGCCCGTAGACATCTACATTTATCCTCGATTATAAATCAAAATCCAGATGCGTTGCCACCCCTGAAGACTAAGATAAAATGCCTTATTCTATAAAAGAAAAAAAAATATATTTAAGTTGCTACATTAACCGACCTTGACGTTCACCATGATACCCTTGCTCAATTTATTGTCAAACTAAAGCATGTTGACGTACGTTAAACTCCAGTTGCACAATTAACTTTTATTTCTTTTTTATTTTATTTTTTATTTAAGAACACATTTTTCTCAATTTTGTTTAACATTTGTAACACAACGCATGCTGTGATTGCCTATAATTATAAGAGCAGTTAATCATGTAAAATTTATAACGCTGTAATGTAACCACACATTAATTGCTGTTTCTTATGTTGGCAATCCAAATAAAAAAAATTAAGGTGTTAATTTACGCTGGTATTCTGTGAGAGCGTGATCCTTCTCCAGTCGAACCGATACATTCGTGTTATAACTACAATATAGCTGCGGCTTGGCTGTACCACATATTATAAAAGAGGACCTTTGCTCATAGTAACGAATCTGTCTATTTTTTTATTAATCCATCAGGCCCGAGGGCAAAGATAAGATCTACGATGGAGCGAGTTTGTCCAGGAGCAGCCTCGGAAAAACAGACGCCGGCAGGGCATTCCACGCCTTGGCTGTGGGCATTATGAAAGATGACTTATAGCGCTTAGTGCAAATGTTCGGAATATCAACCAAGTGTGGATGGTAAACCTGCAGTACGTCTGGTACTCTGATAGGAGAATGGAGCTGGCTATATGAGCTTATGAAGCTCATGGGCACACGGTCATATTCGAATTAAACTGAGACACTGTAATTTGATTTGTAATTTATATGAATTTATATGGAAAAAATAAGCATAGTAAAACTAAAAACGAACTTATAAATGATTTCTTTATTATGACACGGCATTTTAATATTGAATTGTTACAGTGTCCGAGTGCCATAATTAGAACGAATAACTCGTAAAATAATTTAAAACAAGAAAAATTATTGAATAAAACTATTATTTACGGATTTTATCGCGTTTAATTACTTTAATTTATTTTTATTATTATCCCGACGTTTTTACCATCCATCAAATGTAATATTCCTCTACAAGATGCAGGTGTGTACAAGCTAGATTGTGAATGTGGTCTCTCTTACATAGGTCAAACAAAGAGATCTATAAAAACCCGCGTGAAGGAACATACAGCTGATGTGAAGCACCGACGCTCCGGGAAGTCTGCAGTCTGCGAACATGTTCAAGATCGTCCCCACCATTACATTAGATTTGATAAACCACAAATTCTCGCAAAAGAACACCGATTCCTACCAAGGATGATACGCGAGGCTATTGAAATTAAAAAACATCCAAATTTCAATAGAGAAGATGGTTGGGTGCTACCATCTGCTTGGGATCCTATAATTAACAAAATTAAACCCAAACCCAAGCATACCACTGCAAGATTTCATGATACTATAAGCTCGTTTTGCGTAAATCGGACCAAAAATTAATATTAAAAAAAACTGAAGGTAGCCGGACTAACTATGACATTGGGACGTCAAACATCTCAGTCCCCCCCGTGACCATGGGTGCTGTAAAGCACCCGAAACGTCGGGATAATAATAAAAAAAAATTAAAGTTATTAAACGCGATAAAATCCGTAAATAATAGTTTTATTCAATGTGTAGTGTTCGCGTAAATTTAAGAAATCATTAAGAAAAATTATTATCGCAGAATACAATTACGGTAAAACTTTTTGTAAATAAACGATTTCGAAGTTGTGTCCCACGTAAATAGAGATTATTTCTAAAATGAATTTAGAAATACTTTTTATTTATAATTTCGCTCATGCCCTACGGCTATAGAATAAATTGTCAGCGAGACAGTTCGTAATAATACGGCGACAGCTTCAGGTCACTTACAAAAGCGTTATTAATTAAAAAGGAAAATAGCAAGATCCTCCGTTATGCCTAAAAAATATTGCAGGATTAATTTTGAAATAAATATATGGTAAAGTTGAGGATTAATGTTAAGTACTATGTTAGACGAAAACACGATTCCGTAAAATTTTCTCGATAGAAAAAAAATCCAAAGTTACCTCCAAACTGCACAATAAACGTATTAAAATATATAATATATAATACAAATATATAATAACGTAAATGGTATTCATAAAATACTTAAAATTAGATCATGAAACTTTGCATACTAACTGAACTTACTATAAAGCAGGGCTTATGTTTTTTTTAATTATCATTATTTTCACTGTAAAAAGAAATTACCTAAACTATCGGCATTTTGAAGCTCGTTTCCTGCCGCACTGATTAGTCTAGCTTCGGCTTTTAAGCGGAAAGCTGTGTCGCTTTCAATCAGAATACACATTACGCTACAAGACGACGTAAAATTAAAATGGGAAATAACCGTAATAAAAATAAGAGCAACTGGGTTGGCGTAAAGAAACAGGCATAAATATGATAAACCTAATGAAATAAGTATCTAACGATCTATCTACCTACAGTATTAGTGATTACAAATATGTCGGTACATAGCATACAATGCGCGAGTAATTCGAGCTGAGTTACTATAGCCCCTTAATTATTGTAAGGTAAATTTATAAAAATAACAATAGGTATGTTGGCACCGTTATTTTATCCCATGGACCTTGTGTGATATTTTACAATGCAATTTGTCTGTACAGCGCGCGAGGATCCGACGCGTCAAACTTTGGGCGCGTGATTTCACCGGGTTGGGGCTGCGGTGCGGTGGGGGCGCGAGAGATGGCGTGCATGTGCACTCGGTGCTTCGAAGTGGACCAGCCGCGGCTGCCAACTTACAGCCAGGTAAATTTATCATATTATAGCGCGCTATCTCTCTATAGCGCATAGCGCGTGCTATGTAAATAGCTTGGCGCTTTGGTGCTTTGGCGCTATTAAGTATTAATTAGCTACATTATTCTCTTTCTCTTTCTTGCAGATCAGGTTTTTAATCTATTGCAACATACCAACAAAGGAAGATTTTTTAAATATAATAATGGTGATAAACGAGCATACAGTCTGATGGTAAGTGGATGCTGTGGCTCGTAGACACCTACATTTTTCTTCGATTAAAAATCAGAATGTAGATGCGTTGTCACTACTGAGGATTAACATGGAATGTCTCGTTTTCAGTAAAAAGGGTCGTCAGTTTTCTACATTCACCATACAAAACATAGCAGAATGAAGCTGCTGGTTTTAAGCTGGTATTTTGGGTATTCTGTGAGAGCTTGGTCCTTCCCCTGTCGGGCCGACCCATTTGTGCTACTACCATAATATAGCTGCGACATGGCTCTGAAACCTGGCCACGTACAATTGAAAATAATATACACAGAAACTACTTACATTTCATGAACAAAGCGGAAACTATTTTCGGCTAGAATAAATGCGACAAGCACATTTTCCGCCTGATGGTAAGTGGAGGCTTTGGCCCATTCTATCCGCGATAACGAATCAAAATTAATGTAGATGCGTTGTCATCAACTAGGGTTACCACCCGTACTATATTATATATTATCGTACTATATTTCAGTCACTTGTACTATGTATTATAGACAAATAATATAGTACGAAAAATACTATATTTTATCCCTATTGCAGCTGTCGCGCTTTTTATATTAAATGTGATTGAAAATCTGAAATAAGGAGTTTTACGGAAATATTTTTTCCGTCATGAATGTAAAATTGAAAGAAAAAAGGAATAGAGCAAAAATTAATTTAATCAAAAATGAATTGTTAATTATTTGAATATGAATCCAAATTGCTATTTTATTATGCTTATTTTACACCTATAACTATTTGAAAGCTCATTGATGGCCAAATCAAAGAGCAATAACAAATATATATGGAAGAATACATAAAATTTATTTATTAATTTTAAAATTTCACTTCAATTTTACTAAAATTCTTATATGGATTTTCTGTTGCCCGAACTTAAAGATTTTTTTTTATTTATAAAGATTAAAAATACTTTTTTCTCCGGAATTTCTCAACAGTACTTATATTTTTTCATCTTTATTGGGATAAATACTATATTTGTTTCAAAAAAAGGTGGCAACCCTATTTACCAACAAACAACAAACTTTTTCTTTCGCTAGAACTTAATTAGTCAGCAGAGTTGTATACCGCGAGACGGAAACGTTGGCTTCATAAGAAGTTTTTTAGGATATCCTGTATACCCATATATAAGCATTGTAGGAATGACTCAATTTTTTATAGCTCCTGTGGAATACATTAATAAATTTAAAAACACTCTTATTTTTTATTATTATAAGTCGGTGTTTGTTTACGATTCCATCCGATAGTAAACGGTGTAGTAACCGAAGATGGTAAAGTGCGTGATTAAGCTGGCCAAAGCCTATAATTACTCTTGCCTTGAAGACACCCACATTGTAATCGATTTAGGGGACAGATGTTGACAAATTATTCCACTCCATAGCTGTACGATTTACGAACGCCGAAAACATTTGATTCGAATGCGTGGTGTGTAAGCAAGGCAACAAAGGGTTGGCGATTGGTTGGCCAAGTGTCCGTTTGTCCGATGGTGGAAAGGGAAAGGAAATATTAAGTCTTACCGCAACCATACATGAACCATGCAGTGAATGGAAACGAGTGAAGTTCTATGCCGTTTCTTTTTTTTTTGTGTTTTGCCGTTGTTCGTATGTGCAAACTCATTTAATAACTTCCACTTGTATTTCAAAGTCGTCACTGTGGTCTAAATAAGTCAAGATGACATCGCTATCATCATCGTCATCATCATATTCACTGGTAGTCGTACGTAATGACGAAAAATTCAGTTCGACCGGGGAATGGTTTCACACTTAAAATATCAGGCGATTTTAATATGACAGGAACAGTGGAAATATTCCATTCCCGATACTTTTAGTGCAGCCTAGGTATATTATCAGCTATCTGCCAGTGAAAGTTCCGTCAAAATTGGTCAAGCCATTTCGGAGATTAGCCGAAACTAACAAACAGACAAAAACTTTCAAAATTGTGTTTTTATTATAAGTACCGTATATAGTATATACTTGCATATTATGCATTTAGTAAAAAGCTGTCATTTTGAAATTACAAATGGACACTTCAATTTTATTTATTTGCGTAGATAAGAAATCTGTTTCAGAGTGATAACACCACCTGTTGCACTAATCTTTAATATTGTACGTCTTCATTCATTCCTTATTTGGTGTACAATAACAAATAAATTGATAAGTTATCATTGATGGATGAACATGAAATAGTGATCAAACTTATCATTAGATGAAGGATTGCCCAATTTGTCACTTCCGTTCGACACAGTCAATATTAATTAGAAACTGAGTCATTAATTTATTTTGTGATTAAGACATGAACTATTTTGTATAACATTAATGGCGAACTTTTTGTTCATATTTTTTTTATTACTAACTCCTTAAAATGAGAAAAGTTTACGTTTCCTTTTTGTCTTACAACTTATAAATATTGCATACCCGCATGTCAAGCGTGGCACCTGTCGCATATAAGTTATGAGGCAATATATGAAGAACCGATAAACGAAAGGTTCTCGAGTGGCAGCCTCGTACCGGAAGGCGAAGTGTAGGGCGACCCTCCACTAGATGGAGTGACGACCTGGTAAGACATGCAGGAAGTCGATGGATTCAGATGGAGGACCGTGCTCTGTGGCATTACTTGGGGGAGGCCTATGTTCAGCAGTGGACTTGTGAAGGGCTGTAATGATGATGATGATGATGAATATATGGGGGAAGGCCTTTGTTCAGCAGTAAAAAAAATAGATGGGCGATGAAGTTCTAGTCGAATCTCGCGTGTTCTCGATTTATTGATAACTGATATGCATATCGTTTTATATTTCCAGGCGACAAAATCAAAAGCATCAAAATCGAATTAACGGGCACTCCGCTAGAAGATGCCGTCGCAATCCTTTCGCTGGCGTCACCTTATCCTGTAGAGTTGGAGATTGTGGAGGGAGGGCGGGCTAGTGGAGGAGGATGGGGTGTAAAACATCCGCTATTGAAGAGGGCGGGCTCCATGGGGGATGTTTGCACGGTACGTAACTGAGTGTACTTAATCAAATTAATCATTTGGTAATTAGCTGAGATTAGCGTAAAGACTTAATTGGGGTATCTTACTTTGTTTGGGGAGCACCTCCGAAGCTCCTAATGGTGCCTCGTTTAGATGTATTAAATCAAATCATAATATAGACGGTGTCTATTTCATAGTGTAGTAATGTAAGGGTAAGTGGAGGCAGTGATAGTGCACGCAGTTTTGCCTCTTTTTATAGAATAAGTTGACAAACAAGCAAATAGTCCACCTGATTGTTGTGGCCCATAGATCACATACAGAAAAAGAATGCGTTGTCACCCCTGAGGACTAAGATGGAATGCCTCGTTTTCAGTAAAAAATGGTCTCCGGATCTCTCACCATACAAAACGCAGCAGTATTAAGTTACTATTTTACGCTGGTATTCTGTGAGAGTGTGGTTCTTCCCGTTCGAGCCAACCCATTCGCGCTACAACCATGATATCTGCAGCGTAGCTCTACCACGTATGATTTGTCACCTTTTATTCCATAAAAATTGTGTGCGTGTAATCTTTAAGCAAAGTTAATACTTATTTTTGATATTAGTGTTGTGTAGGGGCTATGTAAGAATTCCACTACACCACATCTCCCCGTAAGTGTCAAAAGAGACGTCCGAGTTACTACTTGACAGTCTACACGACGTCATATTGTGATATATTATGATCGTGCTTAAAGTCGAATGTAACCTTCACTTTCTGTACCGACACGTTCGTTGTATAATATTTCGTGACTGTTGCGACAGTATTAAAAGGTCATAACTGCATAGTTTCTTTTAATATAATTAATAGAATCGGGCGTTACTTTGCGGAAATCCATTATTCTAAAGATCTTAGGAGTTACTTTGCAACCTTCCGCTCAATAAAATAAAATGTGTCCCGTCACCACTAATCCCAGCACCACTACTCTCAACACCGCTACTCCCAACACCGCTACTCCCAACACAACTACTGTAGGAAAGTGTGTCTTTCCCATCGACGATAATAAACACGTGTTTCGCCTTCGTTATCGTCGATGGTGTGTCTTTTCTAGAGTAGTGGTGTTGAGAGTAGTGGTGCTGTGATAGTACAAAATTGACCGATGCGGTCAAAACCACTTTTGCCCGATTTTTGCAGTGAAAAGTGGTTATGATTGATTGTGAGTTTTGACTGTAACATTCTTGAAGGCGAAAGGCTTTATAAGTCCTTATGCATGCTTGTTACAAATGCCTTACTGAATCTCGCAAGCGAAACCCATCGTTACTAATAACTTCCTCACAGATCTACATTCACTCACGTAGTGTCTATGATTATAGTCTAGAAACACCTACACTGCGCACGTGACCGTTCTAATAGGGGAAACCTTTAGGAATGCCGGCCCGTTTAACTTGTTTTCTCGCTGTATGATGTGTATACATTTAAGTGTTTTAAATGATTATGAGGCTAAGTCTCCGCCGGCACTAACAATATTGTAATTACATTGGTGTTAATTACAATTTAAGTGAGTAAATTGGCACTTAAATTGTACTTGCTCGATGTTGAAGGAAAACATCGTGAGTTAAAGAAACTTCTAATTTATTATATTATTATCACCCACGCTGTATTATATTATTCGAATCGTATTTATCGTAATAAACCTGGTTATAGTACATGAGGGTAATATGGTCATCCGGTTAACATGGTCACTTTCTTATAACTCAAAAACTACGGCTGTGTTTACATAGAGTAGATACTAAAGCTCTTTCTTCATCGATCCATCAAATGAAAGGGTCAAAAGGGCGCTGCTTTATCGACGCCATTTTGACAGTTGACATTATAGTAAATATTTTAGTCAATTTTAGTATAGTGTGGTGTAATTATTTTTTTAGTAGATTTTACGAAGTGTTCCTAATTTTTGCCAAGCCTTGATTGTTTTTTTTTCTTAATATATTACAGTATACAACTTTGTGTTTTTGTCTCTGTCATCCTCCTAGTTTTGATTTTATTGGGCGTTACACGTACGCCACCTTATTATTACCTAGCCTACTTCGAATAGTTTTAAAGACAGTAGCCTGTAAAGGGATATTTAAACTAGCATTATGCAAGCATATTACATATGTATATACATAATATTAATAATATACCACTATCCATTTCATTACAGCCTACCACTACCCCTATACAGTATGTAACGTAATTAACGCACACCCTCAGACACCCCATTTATGTAATCATAATACATACACTGAATTTTTAGTTAAACATTTTTATGCACTGATTATTTATCAAATTAGTTATACTAGAAATTCCGGAAGAATGTTGTGGTCACAGTACAAATCCACGAACGCAAAGACTTTAACGTGCTTGAAATAAAGTTCATTTTTCTCTATTTTTATTGAACGACAGAATTAGTAATAATACAAATAAAACTGCACTCTTAAAACGAAGCAACAGTACCTAATGGCAGGGCGCAGATCGAGAACTCAAAACGTCGTGGGTTCGAATCCGCCATTTGACTAACTGTCGTAAACCACTCCTAACACAAGCATTTTCAAGCTTACCAGGAGTTGTTAAAAGGAATATTAGTAATGTTAATTAATAAGATTACTAATATTTAAAAAAAAAAAGACAAAAAAACTCTTATTGCCTTAAGTTACGGTCCATTTCAGTTTGTTTTGACTGTACAGATTTAGTGTGACTGTAATTTACGTAGTTTTAATTATTTTTGGGATAAAAAATTACCTATATTAAAAATGATAGGAAGAATAGAAGTAATTGATTCAGTAAATGATTCTGAACAAACTACTTTCTCAAAGTGCGTTAATTATATTACGTGTTGTATATACCACTATCTAGTTCATTACAGCCTATAAAAGTCAACTGCTGAACATAAGCCTCCCCCATAAATTGCCTCATAGGGCGATTTGGTCATAGTAGTCACGCTTGGCGAGCGGGATGACAACAGCGGTTTTTTTTTTATTATTTGGTGTTGTTATCGTGAAGATGGTGCTGTTCATCACTTGTTCCAACTTCACTCTGTCGCCTCTTACGGCACCCGATGGATAATACCGGGTAGTGGATATTCTTATACTGCCGCTACACGGTCTTATAATAATAATATACAATAATAATATAATATACTAATTCTATATTTGTTAGTCATGAGTCTGAGCCTACCTCTCCCTAAGGTTCATGGGCGGGGGCTTGGAAAATACCGGGTTTATCTCGAGCAATCAACACAAAAATTTATAATAATAATATACATGCTACAAATTTTTTAAATTATTTATTAGAGCCGTGGTAATTATTAAATTTTTTTTAGAGCCGTGAGCTCACAAGGTTAGCGCTCGCTGTAAATATAACAGAACGCGAGCAACCCGGGTTCGATCCCCGCCGGCACCAATGAAATTGTTAATTGCAATTTTAAGTGCTGATATACCACGTGCTCGGCGGTGAAGGAAAACATCGTGAGGAAACCTGCATGTCTGAGGAATAAGAAAAAAAAATATTTCGAAGACATGTGAAGTTCGTCAACACGCATTTGGGCAGCGCGGCGGACAATTCCTTGCCCTAAACCCTCTCAGAAATGAGGGGAGGCCTGAGCCCAGCAGTGGGACGTATATAGGCTGTAACTTTACTTTTACTTTTTACTTTACTTTCTGACCGTGTATGTCTGTCTAATTGTGCATTAACAATTTACGCAAAAATTACTGGACTCTTTTCAATGACATTTTATATGTATGTAGTTAGTAACCCGGGGCAACTTATAGGTTACTTTTTATCCGATTATGGAACTTCAAAAAAAGAAAGTATTTTAAGTAAGACTGTGTGACTTTTTACCTACTCAGACATATAAGTTTCCCCATGAAGTTATTCCTCACCTCACCACATGTCTGAGGAATAAGAAAAAAAATTATTTCGAATACATGTGAAGTTCGCCAACACGCATTAGAGCAGCGCGGCGGACACTTCCTTGCCCTAAAACCCTCTCAAAAATGAGGGGAGGCCTGTGTCTAGCTTTGGGACGTATATAGGCTGTAACTTTACTTTTACTTTTTTACTAATTTTTTAACAGTCACAGTTTAGTTCATTTATTCATTCCTATGAAAGTTTAAAGTACAACTGGCACAATGAAAAAATGGTAATGCCAATATAATATAATTCCGTTCAACTACTACAAATGGATCACATCATTATACAGAAAATACAGGAGGAAAAAAAAAACAAGTTTCTTACCGGCTCTTCTCTGCAGAAGAGTAACTTTTAAAACCGGCAATGTATATTTTGACATTTATAAATTTAAATAATAATAATAATGATTTATTTTCTCACCACAATATTATAGAATTATTGTACATAATATTAAAGTATTACACATCAATGTTATACAGTGGGAGACTGGCGCCTAACCTAGGCTTTACGCCTGTATTTCAGGACTCCAGGTCTCCGCTCTATGGTTGTAATTACAATTAATTTTATTCCTCAACTTACTATGAGTATCGATATTTAAGTGTGCGATCTATAAAATAATACTTAGCGTAATGAACGAACGAGTAGAAATAATACTTAGCGTAACGATATGACGTTGTTATTAGAAAATACCACCGGAGATTTTTCCGGACCGATACGACTTAGGGACCTACAAGAAATGAGCCTACTCCTTTTTAAAACCGGCAATGCACCTGCAATTCCCCTGGAGTTGCAGTTGTTCATGGGGGGCGGTAGTCACTTACCATCAGGTGAGTCTTATAAAAAAAAAAAGATGTTGATACGATATATTTTGGGGCCCAGATAAGGGCCTTTATAATAATTTATGTACCAGCGTACTTGGAGCTGGTATAGTCGCCTTAATGCTGTCACTGAGAGCGGTTTTAGCGAGTTCACCGGGCAACCACAGTCTCACAGAGGTCTTTTTTTTTGATAGAATAGCCAAGCGAGCACACAGTCCACCTGATGTTAAGTGGATATTATGGTCCATAGACATCTAAATCTAACCTCGATTAAGAATCAAAAAGCTGATGCGTTGTCACTTCTGAGGACTAAGATGGAATGCCCCTTTTAAAGGAAAAAGTGTCTCGGACTGCATTATTCTGCAGTTTTACGATGGTATTCTGTAAGAACGTGGTCTTACCCGAGTCGAGCCGACTCGTTCGTGCTGCAGCCATTTTATAGCTGCAGCGTGGCTCTACCACATATAAAACTTGTCTGCACTAAGTGCTTTCATAAGAAGTGTTCCATTTTCTAATTTTGACATGAACACTAAAAATTAAAGATGCAAAATCTCTTAGTATAATTCTACAGGAAGATACCTTCGCCAAGGTTCCCTATATGCGTCTATTGAATAACATTCAATAAAGAAACCGCATGCAGAAACGCTATCATGCAATCACACAATTTATTCATGAATATTAAGTAGCTAACCAAACTCTGAGGCATTCGTAATGCGACAACCCCTTCCCCTCTTGCATTATTGTTTCACATACAAATTGCACGCTTATTACTCATTCATAAACTCTCAATGACAAACTTTTGTAGATTCCCCATTCTAAAGGAAGTATCGTTGAACAACCTAAGTATCAAAACAATGCGAACCATAATATGTGCTAATGCTTTCAAAATATGGAAGTTTATCGATCAACATTAATGTCTTACAGCTTTGTTTGAGACGCGTGTTTAGGATACAATGTCGCCTACGCAATGGAATGTAAATCGGTTATGTTTCTATTGTGTCAGCCTGTCGGTATTGTTAGTAAATGAAAGGAGTAAACGCCGGATAGTCTGATATAACATTGATTTTATATCCCCATAGCCTTGTCCGGATATAATATTTAAAAATAGAAACTTTTGGATTGTAACAGATTTTGAGATTTTACTCCCAATTGTTTTCAGTAGTTGTCATCTGTATTTATGATATTCAAACTGACCGATTGACTGACATTTGTTTCTAACCTACCCGCACACTACAGTCTGATACAAAAATAATCAGAACGCATCCAAACCAGACCGATTATTCCAGGCTGGTAATTTTTGTCAGGCATTTAGACTACTATGTGGTTAAATAATACAGTCCGGTATCAAATTACGGTGTTCATGACTATGTACGTCCCACTGCTGGGCACAGGCCGCCTGTCATTTCTGAATGAGCTTAAGGACAAGAAAGTGCCCACCGCGGTGTTCCAATGTCGTGTTGACGGAATGCACGTATTTTTTAAAAATGTCTTAGTGTATTTTTCCTTTACTGGCAAGAATGTTAACGAAGTTAGCACTTTGAGTTACAATCAACACCAATGAAATTGAAATTTTGAACTTAAGTTGATCCGGTTATAGCCTATTTAAGTCCACTGCCTTCCCTATAGATTGCCTCAACCCCCCCCCCCCCCCCATATTTGCCATAGTTACTGGTTAGTGTAGTATAGTGCCACTGGTTGCCAACAGTTGTTTTAGTAGTTATTAGGAAGACGTTGCTGCCCATCTCCTGGCTGGTTTCCTTCTATCGCCTTTTATTTCTTAGTCATTTCTCATAAATATAGTATGCTGGGAGTCGATGAATGCAGGTGGCTCTGAACCGTGCTTTATCGCATTCATTGGTGGAGGTTATATTTAGCAGTGGCCTTGTGAAAAACTGTAATGATGATGATGATAATGATGTATATTTCTAAATAGGTATCATAACAAATTTCTTAGTAAATTGTACTAGAACAGATTAAAGTTTGCAGTGCTTTTTTATAGGATTGGGTGACAAACGAGCACACAGTCCACCTGATGGTAAGTGGTTTCTGTGGCCCATAGTCATCTACATCAATCCTCAATTACGAATTAAAATGGAGATGCGTTGTCACCCGTGAGGACTAAGATGGAATGCCTATTTCCAGTAAAAAGAGGTCTCCGGTTCTCTACACTCACCATACGAAATACAGCAGCATTAAGCTACTTTCACGCTGGTATCCTGTGAGAGCGTGGTCCCTCCCCGGTTGAGCCGACCCATTCGTGCTACAACTATACTTCTAATATAATTGCAGCATGGCTCTACCACGTATATGCTTTTTCTCTGTCTGGCTTATATTTCTTTGTTGAGGGTTCGAGATTTTTTCTTATTTTAAAATTCAGCCAGTCAGGCCGAACAGTGGCCAAAGTAAAACAGTTAAACAATGAGGGCATCCACGACCTTTTCTGCCACCAGGACGCCCCACTTAAAATGAGCTTTGTCTGATTTCATAGCGGGGAAGTTAATTTGTTCGATATTTTATTAGTTATATTTTATTATTTTATATAAATTAGATTAAAAATAAATAAATCAAAGTACACATATTCATAAAAGAAGTCAAATTAAAAAAAAACCTTAAAAATGTGCAAAAAGATAAAAGAGCAAACCCTGAGACTTTGTTTTAGGTATGAATATAAATACTCTAGAAACTGATAAACTTTTATTTAGAACAAAATTTTCCATTGAGTGGTACTGTGTAACAAAAAATTTCACTTGATTGTCAACTATTGACATCTGTTGAACGGAATATTATAAGCCCTCATTGATAGCACACTTTGTGTTCTTAGAGGTCTTTCTTACAATTGAGGAAATTTCGAGCTTGAAAGACAGGTGAAGCATCGTCTTTGATGAATGTTGAAAAATATTTTTCAACATTGTTATAGGGATCGATATTTGCTACAGCTAGATATAAATCTGTTAAATTATCGAGAGTACTCGTGCAATTCAATATTTATATTATCATTAAATTAGCCGATAGCGTGTTTATGTCATCTAGCGTATTTTTACGTACCACCGTGAGAGTCAATCAATTTTCGTTCGATAAAATGACTTCACCTATAGAATTAAGTAGATGGCGCTATTAAAATTTTATATACTTAAGGACTAAAGGAAATATTCTTTAAAAACCTCAATACATGTATTCTTTTGATTTATTACATTAAAATTTAGGCTTCACATTAAAAAAGGGTTGTAACAATTATTTGCTATAAAATTAAACTTATACCTAGGTATCTCATATTTTATGCTGCCGTTCAAAATGATATTTTTAACTCATATATATATATAAATTATTGAATTATTTAACCTTTAAATACGCCTAGCTTAATTAAACTTTAATACTAAAGAGTCCTGTACCTATTAAGGTATAAAGAAATGTTTATTGAATTAAAATTTTATTTTTAAAGATTTTACCTTTTCCTCAATCATCATCAATCTTCAATTCATCACAATTAAAACTATTATCTCCCCATTTTCAAAATTTTTTGAAAAAGCATTAATTTTCAAAAGGCACAACAAAAATAAACATAAACATTGAAATGTGAAGTGAACTTACAAACGTATCGCCCGCACGCCAACTCGCACTCCTAAACAACTTCAGAGTAAAGCCCAGCTTTTGTTTCTATAGTAATTGCTATATAAGCATTTCGTAGTTATATTTCATTAGAAAACATTTTACCACAGGTTGGAAAGGGGGCGATCGTCTTCTCGAAAGCCCGTTTAAAAGCCAACGCGTGAAAGTGAGACGACAAAATCAACTCCTTGCTTTCATTAATTTTGACAGTCCAGTGTATTTCGAATTGAAAGTAAACTGCCAAGTGTTGACTACGAGGTCATGACCTGTCTAGAACGAAATTAGAAATACATAGTTTGAAACAGTTTAAGAGTTATTTTATTAGTTGATATTATCGATTGAGCAGATTGAAAAGGCAAGCCTGGCTTTTCGGCTTTTATGGAGGTTTCGCCGCTGTGAATCGGAGACCCATTTTACTGGAAACGAGGCATTCCATCTCAATCCTCCGGGGTGACGACGCACCTGCATTTGATTCCTAATCGAGGATGAGGATGTAGAATGTGTGCTCGTTTGTCACGTTGTTGTCTTATGCCTTTAAATAATTTATATATGGGGATTATGTGGACCAAAGGATGATATATGGTAGTGGATATTTTAAGTTATTCACCGCCCCATATCATCTTAAGTTGCTTGCGTACTGTGAAATCTTCGGTAAACGCTTAGCCCCTAAGCTACTACTAAAGAAACAAAAAGAAGAGCACTGCCTTCTCTATCATAATCGCGTGCACTATCACGATATATCTATAATATTGCGTTATATCTATGTATACAGAGGTTTTAGTGTTAGCTGTAGAAACACTTCCAGTATTTACACAGTAGCAATCCCAGCATTTTCGCACTACAGAACTTATTTCTGTTTTGACGCCGCAGCAGGCAGCGAAGTTAGATAAGCTAGTGAATCTTTGTACATTTTGTGTATGTAAAACGACGTGATGGTATAGAAGAAATTCCTAGTGTGGAAGTAATGTTATTTAAAATAAATGCTGTACGACTTTCATATGGATAATCCTTGCAAAATCCTTGAACAATTTTTCTTTTACAATATTATTTAGGCGGGGAAAAATATAACAATTATTAAGCGAAAATATTTATAAGCAGAATTTATCTTTAAAAGCCATATACTTTTGCATTTTAATTAATACTACGTAATACGACAGTTAATTTTTCTTCTTTTTCTCTTTCAGCTTGAAAAAGAAGGGAGGCTTTTACATCCGCCGAGATCGCCAAACACTTCGAATTCCAATAACTCTACATTAGAAACCAAACAAGGGAAGGGTGGAATCAAGAAAATATTAACAGAAAAGATCATAACATCAACAACAACCCTTGAAAGAAACAAGAAGGAGAAGAAAGATGGAGCGCCTACAACATTAGAAAGAGAAAACGAAAAGAACCTTAAAATGAACAGTAAAACCAGACAATCTGATGTAACACCCGCCTTAAGCAAACCTGAGAGAAACAAAAATAGACATTCTACGGGAAGCGATATACAAGTCATACAGCCTGAGAATGGGATAACACAAATCGAGCAAGCAGAAGTACCAAAAAAGAGATTACGATCCTAAAAGAGGAATGAAATTCGGTATAAGAGTTCTTCCACCAAACGTCCCTGATGATGGTGTTCTGAAACAAAAAAGTACAGAAAATGGGACGGCTGTTTTAGAAAAGACGTCAATCGATGAACCGGATAAACCAGAACCTCAACGGCCAGCACCTACTACACAAATTAAACATGAAACGGAAACAGAGACTAAGAAACCTGTTGTCGCTAAAAGGAGAGAAAAAATGGCACCGCCTGTACCAAATGCACGTGTCAAAACGAATGAATCCGAAACTTCGATAAACACAAGTGTAGATACTTCGAAAACATCTGAAACCTCTATGTCGAGTTTTGCAAGAAGCGACCTTAATTCTAGTGGAATAAAAAGAGACGAAAATGGTATACCCCAAGAGCTGCCCTCACATATGTTTGAAGCAGCCAAAGCTGCTAGAAGCAACAGAAGAAGTTCAGCAGATTTAGTCCAGGATAAAGTTGAGCTGAAAAAAGAAGAAGCACCTAAACCAATAAAGAAATCAAAAGGAAAAGCACCATCTCCCCCTGATACTGAAAAAAATAAAACTGATGATAGTATTTTAGAACAATTAAAGAACGTTAGCGATTTTCTTAGTAATGAAAAACAACATTCTAGTTTGTTACATGACGTGTCTTTGACACCTAACAAATCAACTACGTCTATGTCAATATCTTACAATACCTCTACGCCAAAGGTCATAAAAACCAAAACATCCCGAATCGACGAATCGATAAACTTTAGTCAAGATGATATTGACGATATAGTATCGAAGCCTTTTAAAAGAGAAAGCGATTCGTTAAACAATTTCTTTGAAGATTCTAAATCCAACCTTTCTTCAAATCAAGACGTTCATTCAGTCGTTTCGTTAAATAACAGCGATAAGAGCGAAAAGGGTTCAACCACAATAGAACTTAATAATAGTGACATCACTATACATAGCTCACCATTAAATGAAACAGGTAATTCAGCCACCGATGATGTGTCCTTATTAGATGAAAATGAACGTAAAGCAGCTTCCTTGGGAGATTTGTCTAGATTCGAACTTAGAGCTAAGATAAATAAGCCATCCACCGGAACGTTAGAAAGGGCACAAAGCTTAGATATATCAGCAGATGACGCTGAAATTCAAGAAATTACTTTGTCACCGAAAAAGCGAAAGGCCATGTCCGTCGTTGAAACAACATTTTTTGATTCAGGCACAGAAGATGTTTCACCAGACATGATTGATCCAGAAAAGGGTGTTGTCTTAAAACAAAAGGAGCCAAGATTGAGTTTAAATATAGCAAAAACGTCTGCCATAGAAGGTCTTAATACGTTCCAGAGAAATCGCTTAAAAAAAGCATCAGAGTTCGGTAACTTAGAAGACGCAATCGTTAAAGGATCAAGTAGTTCTATAGAATCTGACAAACTAGAAGTTAAAGACGTGATGGTTAAAAAATCACAAAATAAAGAAATGGATACGGTACAAGAAAGCGACGACCATGAAACGTCGGATCATTTGGCGAGGCGATTTATGGATGAAAATTTGAAAGTACATTTCAAACTTGTATCTGAATTCGCGAAGTCAACGTCAGACGGGAGCAATGCGAGTTCTTTAGAAAGTACCCAAGAAGTTAAAACGAGCACTGAAAATAAAACTTCACCTATCAAGTATGAGGAGAAAATAAGTATGAATTTAGATACGAATATTCCAGACGATTTAAAAATGTCACGTAATACATATGTCAACAGTTTAGAAAGACCTAAGTCTGACATGATGAAGAAACTGTTAGCTAAAAATCCCATTTTCAACGTACATGTTGACCAAACATCGCAGAAATATGAAGCTTCTACTTCTACTAGCAAAGCTTTACCAGCGATGACAGATTCATACAAATCCACCATGCATCAACCAGACATTGTTAATTTCGATTTAAAAACTACAGAGCCAAAAGCACGAGAATACGATGAATTTGTTAGTAATATAAGAGTGGGATCAAACAACAATAGTTTGAAAACGACTAAGAAACCACAGGAATCGTTCTCCACGGAATGGTCTGAAACCAAAGACGGACATGGTGGCAATGTTGTTACAATATCAACAAATAATAAAAATATGTCTTCAGAAGAAAAAAGAAAATCTTACACTAAGTCTATAGAGATAGGGGAACCAGTAATGAGAGTAGTGCCGGATGTGATAGAAGGTATTAAAAGTAGAAACGACCAAAGAGAGAACAGAACTTTGTATATGGAACCAGGAAACGTTTCTCTTACAATGACACAAGAACCAATTCAAAAAACAGTTACAGTAAATGTAACGGAAGATGAATATGGAAATAAAGTGATCACACAGAATGTTGAAAAGTTTTCTACTCAGTACCTAACTACTAGAACAGAAGCGCCATTACAGATCGAACAAATGAGTTTTGGACTTATGAAAACTTCTGGCGATATAAGTGAACTGAACTTAGAAGAGGGTAATGTTAAAGATTTCGATAAAAGAGTATTGGATGAAATTAAACGGCAAAATCCTAACATGCATTTCACATCTAATGAACCGTCGTATACGAAAACAGAAACAATTATACTAAACACTACGGACTTAGACGAAAAACAAGCAAAAGCATTAATGGAAAAACTTCAGAATGATCCTAGTTTTATGGCGCAGAAAACATCAGAAGAACTCTCACGGATGGGAATAAAAATAATCAGAGATATAGAAGATCAACACACTACCAGTCAAGATTCTGTAGAAGTTTCCAAAACAAGATACTCAATTAATCCAACTATGATGCCAATAACAACACAAAAATATAGTAAATCTGATAATACGGAAGAAAAGGGAAATCTGACAGAAGGAAGAATAGAGAAGGATCATATAACAGAAATTCAAGTTGTTACGCCTTGGACAGAAAAGATGAAGCAAAAGAAAGATGAAACAAGCAAAGATACGGATAAAATAGCTAGTAGACAAAGAGCACCAGTTTACAGAGAACCATTGTTGTCATACGAACTCGATATAGAACTCCTTAACGATTTTATTCTAAACGAAAGGCATCACACAGCTAAACAGTTGAACGAAATAAAGAAACGAACGAAAATCGAACCAAAGAAAAGGCATGCAGACTTTGATTTACCAAGGAACAGTCATATTAAATTCCGTACAGCGACTTATGAATCACCAAAAGGGACGATCGTTACTAGCACGGACTTGGAAAACCGTAGACTTTCACAACTAGATCAAATGCAACTAAGAGCGACCAACGATCAGCCAGTTTCCAGTCAGAAACCGACAATTTCGGCCAAACCGAGCAATATACCGGTAAAACTGTCAGAGAAAACGAAACCCGTATCACAGGGAGTATCGTCAAAAATACCCGTTTCCGCAACTGTAAAATCATTTAGTCAAGAAAATTTATCGGACAAAAACTTCTCACTACCTCGTTCACCGCCACCAGGTCTAAGCGGTAGTTCTGGAAATATATCGGTTACTTCTATAATTAAGACTAGTTCCAGAAGTCCTAGTGGGGGTATGCTTTAAATCACATTCCAAATGCAATTTTGTTTTACGGTTAGAGCGTATATTATTGGAAGCAGCAAACATGTAGCTATATTGAATATAAAAGTATCGAAGAAGAATTATATTCTGGAACTGGTAGTTAAATTTCGCATTTTTTTTCGGTTTCCCAGAAAACAAACTAATAAACCAAATTTTTACGATTTGAGGTCATTTTTTAAACTTGTATTTCAGTTGTAAATCTTTAAAAGCGAATGCTTTTTTCAATAATAAAATAATATTAAATAAATTTGTTCTTATATTGAATCCTTTAGAATACACATATGTAAATCTTGCATAATTATGACGTGATCCTTTTGCCCAGATAATATCATGAAATTGATATACCTCGTAGATTATTGATTTACTTAATAGACTTTGTATACGAAAAATATTTTTATAAAAAATGGCTACTTAAGAAAGATATACCATTTAACTATATCTGTTTCATGTATAGATGACTTGATAAATATGTTGCTTAATGTTGCTACTTTCAATTGTTAATATGAAAAGTTATACTTATTATAGTTCATAAAAGATAGCTTGATCTCTGCGACAGCTGTCAGTAAAAATCACGCCTATGAAGTCCTGAATTTCTTAGAAGTACAGACAGTACCTGTCAATGTCATACTTTATGGGCATGCCGACCTAATTAGTGCATGGCTATAAAGTATGACATTGACAGGTACTGTCTGTACTGCTAAGAAATTCAGGACTTCATAGGCGTGATTTTTACTGACAGCTGTCGCAGAGATCAAGCTATCTTTTATGAACCATTGTCATCTTTTGAACTATATACTTATTTCTAGACTTTTGTACAATACCTTGGCATTATTAATAAAGTAGCGATTAGCTTTAGACTTTTGAGATTTTTTATTCAAATGTTAACTAAAATTAGTGCCAGAATTATGATGTATTTATAAAGATCATAAATTTAACGAAAAATGTGCCTTAAATAATTTTAAATTCTTTATGACATTCCGTCAATTTTATGTAAAAGAAATCTATTTTGTTTTTCGGTTGTGAAAGCAAAAATATAGTATTTTATGCGTAGTTACTTAATATAAGTAAAATGTCACAATTATGTTATTTAATATAAGCGATAACAATTTTGTTATAAGTGGATAACAAAAAAAAAAAATTAGTACCGTTGTCTATGTTTTTGAACATTCCGTCCCAAAAGTATTACCGTGTAACTAAGATTAAATTAGCTTTATCAGAAAATAACACTAAACAAAACAATATAATATTTGCTACATTACTTCGATAAAACATTTCGAATTGTAAGTAGGTATTAAAAGTCTTCCAATTCAGGTGCAATATGGCAACATTAAGGTTTGTCATTGCGACCACAGATAACCTCAAAATCTGTTTCTCGCCTTTTTGGGTCTGTTCTGTTTATATAATATATAGTGTGGTTAAAAGTGTAGTGTAACGCAGTTATTTGTTGACATTTTTTGTAATAATATAGTTACGATGTTCTTTATGATGTTCAATGAATTGTGAAGCATTAACAATTTATTATCACAGTTATACAAATTGTATTTTATTGATGTATTATAATATAATAAAGACAAATTATCATGTTGTATTTCGTTTGATTTCTATATACTGGGGTTATTTTGCAATATACGGCCAAATTTGTAGAGAAGGTTCAGAATAAGTAATATAGGTGAATGGTGAAGACAAATAATTTAAAAAATCTCAAACATTCCGTCCTTTCTATTATGGAGTGTATACTCCATGCTTTCTATCTTTTAAATTTAGAATGCGTGGTAATGCTTTTTTATATATTCTCCAAATTAAACACTATGATAATACTTTTAAATCACTATAAGCGATATTCATTTATTGAAACAAGCACAACTTTCCTAACTTTCTGTTTTTTGTGCGTGTAAGTTAGTGAAACCAACTGTTGCCAATGATTAGAACTAAAATTTTGACTAATTCTAAAAGCAAGGGATCAAAGAATTCTCCATTACATTTTAAACAATTTTTCATTCGTTCAAGTCATTTTTGAAAATATCCAACTCCTTCAATTGCGTGCACTAATCCAGTCACCACTAATCCCAGCACCACTAGCACCGATCTCCAATCAGCTTGACAAACGTATAGCGATTATGAATTCAAATCCCAAAGTAATAAATTATTAATTGAAAAGTCGAAAACCCGACTGCAAAAAGCCAATTTAAAAGTAATGCACTAAAAAGACCAATTAATTTTCTTTCGGTTTATAAATTGCACATTTGAAAGCAAGCGGAAGCCATTAATTTTCTTTTAGTTTATAATTTGTAATTAGGTCCCACCTGCTAGGTACTAAACTTAATGCGGGTATTTAACTTAGGATTTCAGCTCATAATACAGTCTGTTAAACCGAAGTAGAGTTAACTTTGTTTATAGTTTAATTTAATTTTCTTTTCTACTTTTAATCTTGTTTCGGTCTTTTTAGTGCATTAATTTTTAATTGGCTTTTTGCAGTCGGGTTTTAAATAATTTACTTAAATAATTTATTTAATTTAGACTTTTTAGTGTCCCGTCACAGTCTTATGAACAAAAACTATGTTACTTATACTATGTATACGATGTATAAGTCGGGAAAAATGTAGGGATGATTGATTGCATGCCAAACAAAACAGATTAATGAAAATTACAATTGACGTAAGCGGTTCAGCTTCAAAAACTTTTAAACCAATTTATAATTTAAACATATAACTTAATATTTTTGTAACCTACTTTTAATTTTTTTTATATTAATACCCTATTGCGCCAAAGATTCCTCATTTTTTTTTTCAAACAGTTATCTAAGGACACTTGGGTTTTTAAGCCGAATAAGCTTTTGAAATCCATCGAGCCGTTTGGAAGATACGAGGTAATAAATAAATTTACAAACAAATATAAATAATACATACAAGGTACGCGCGAAAAACATATTCCTTCCTTGGCAGTCGGGTAAAAAAAATCTAAGACATATTTTCAAGCCAATTTTTTTAATGTTCATAAAACTTTTTAAATCTGACCCAAAATTAAATCAGTTTGAGTGGAAGCGTCCTTTGTATAAGACCCTATAAATTCAGACTTGCAACTTCGCCCGCATTCCTTTTTAAAAAGTTTGTTCAATTTTTTCTTGCAATGGGAAAGATCGCAAACATTTTTGCGCGCCATATGACATGACTTTGTGCATGCTTTTGCCGCCTGTTTGTCACATGAAGTTCGCCATTTATTTCTCAACATAGTTTTTTGCAGTGGAATTAGTTTCAGATTACTTAAATCTTCCTCGATGGTTTCATCCTTATCAGTGTTACTTACATCGTCGTAGTGATTGTCGTATGTATTTAGCTTTTTTGATATTTTCGGTGGTAATTTTAGACGTTTTAAATTAACTGGACTGTTATTGTTTTCTGTTTTTAAAAAAGAATTTCCCTGTAAGAGAAATAAATAAAAAACGAATGCAGGTTTTGCTAATAGTACCAACGGGTGTTGTTAAGCCCGTTCAAATAATTCAGATCAGGAGAATATACCTACAGGGTTATTTTGCAATAATTTGCAAAGGTTCAGAATAAGTAATATAGGCAAATAATGAAGAAAAATTAATTAAAAAAAAAATCATAAACATTCTGTCCTTTTTATCATTTATATTCAAAATTGTAATGCATTATTTTAACCATAAATTTTAACTGATTTTACTGCGCACGCACACATTCGTAAGGTCGACCGATAGGCAAAAACGTTGTTGCCCATAAATCACATTCAATTTGGCATAATTTTGAAATAAAAGTAGAAGCCTTATTATACTATCAATATATATCGTTATTGTAGTTTTTGAAACACATTAATTGCGGGTATCTTGTGAAACACGCGTATATTACTTTGCTCCGTCATCATTTAATATTTTCGATGTAAATCTCTAATATCTAATGTTTTAACTTAGATCGTTTAAAAGCAGAAAGAATACATTAAAATAGTCTATTAGTGATAGTAAATTAATCAGTGATTCGTAAAAAGTAACCATATATACTTTTTTACTTTATTATTGCATGCTTCTGCGTCGACAACAAGTTGATGGCCAATTTCAAGATGTCCCTTAGTCCACTTAGGGACTTTATGTACTGGCAGCATCATAATAAGTAACAGCTCATTGTCTATGGTTCTCTGTCTATGTTTGAGACATTTGTAACAAGTTCCTAAGTAGGTAGAGAAAGAGTAGTTTTAAAATATATTTTATACCCTAAGTCCACGTGATTCAGTTCAAGAAGTCCCTTAGTCCCAATAAATCTAGTATAAGTTCTAAATGTCACTAAGTCCTTTTTTACTGTCACACCATGTCATTATTTGAAAAAATAACGCTCTTTCCTTTTGTTTAACAGTGTTTTTTTTTTATTTTTCGGGGTGTTTTGTTGCTGTACTCGTACTGTGAAAATATATTATATATATAAGCCTGAAATGACACAATCTATGATGAATGAAAACTTGAATCGTTTTGCACTATACCGAACTGGAGTTTCAAGAATTTTAAGAGAAATGCCAGTCGATTGCTATGATGGCCAAATAAAGCTTAAAGAAGCTAAAGTGAGAGATATGAAAAAGCTTTTGGAATATGTACCCGAACATTTAAGGAATTTTTACACAGAAATAATCGAAATAACAATATGGTGATCACCTCTGAAGATGTTGGTGACAAATGATAGTTTTTCAGTTGGTGGGTTTTTAGTTTATAAACACAATATTAGTAAGTAAGTAAGATTGTGATATTCATTTTATTAGGTCAATTAAAAAAATTATAAATAATTTACGGTATTTTATTATAGAGTATCAAGATAGCTTACTTATAAAGTTTCAAGACTGGTTACTCCGAGTTAGTTTTTCTGTCAGAAAACCTAAGTCCAACTCCCCGTTTATGAATGTCACTAAGTCCAGTATAAAATCCCTAAGTCCAGAAGCCCTTTTTTTTTAACATGGGGAAATGCCTACGCATACCCGCCTCGCGGGGGCAAGGACGGGTTATGTCGGACTCGCACCGACTAAAACCCCATGGTGTTCCACCTTCGTCGCATATTGGCAGGGCTACGGGAACGCTTTCGCACACATCCGCGGCCCCACCAGCGACTGCCGCCCCATGGCAGCACCTCATCGGGAGAGGAATATTCCTCCCCGTTCTCCTTTCCAAGTAAGGCGCACCAGAACACATGGCACGGCTTCCTCCACGGCCTCCAATTACATCTGCGCAACAGACGCACCCGCGTCCGATGCGCGAAGGCTATGGGGCCAGGAAAAACGAGCACTTAGAAGTACTAGTCTTCCCGACCCCAGCGGCGGATCTGGTCTATGGCTCCGCCGCCAACCAAGATTCGGCTGTGGAGGATAGGGAGAGCGGCGCCTCGCAATACCGACAATCCTCTCCCCCCCGCAGCACCCATTACCACCGCATCAACGGTGCGGCCCCGTTTGAGTCGCGGAGGATAGGGCGAGTGGCGCATCGCCATACCAACACTCCTCTTCCTCCGCGACTCCACCTCGGCTGCAGCGGTAGGTGGGGAGGACACACCTCTCACCGCAGTCCACCAACACACATCCGAAGTGGGCTTCCCAAGCCCACTCGGAGTGGCCACCTCGGGCCGGCCCTCCACCTCGGACCAGCCATGTAGGTTCCTCTTTGTTTCGCCGTGGGTGACCGAGCCACGGCTTCTAAGCCCCCCGCCACGACAAGGCGGGAACCCGTTCGGGGGGGAAGTCCAGAAGCCCTAAGTCCAAGATTTTTATGACCTAAGTCCAAAAAGATTATATTTAATTTTAAATGTATATGAAATAGACCTTACGGAAAACATTTTGGTGTCACATATATATATTTTTATTCCTTAAGGTAGCATTTCAAAAGCAAAAATAAAAACAATCTTTGCATTTTCTCAAAAGTGTAAATACGGACTTAGGGACATCTTGAAATGGGCCAGTGCAGTGGTCGTTCGCTTCCCATTAAGCGCTTTTATCGCTTGAGCTTAGTGAATGGTTTAGGATTTATTTTTAATTATTTTCAAAGAACCGAGATGTCTTCTACTGCGAAATGTGCTGGTTCTCAGAATAAAATAACTAATCGAAAGTTTATGTGTTGTAGTTCATGTAAACTAAAATGTGATTTGGACTGTGCCACGATTAGTGAAAATACTTTCATTTCGTTGGACAAAGAACGTAAAGCTCTGTGGATATGTCGTGCATGTAAACATCGTCAATCTAAGAGTGATAATCAGAACACTCCCATTCGCGGCAAAACAATGTACTCAGAAGGCTGTATGGAGAAGGAGACAGAAGAATTGGCAAGTAATTTAAATGTAAAAGTGCGCACCAAGTCTAACAGGCGGGAGGTCAGCCCACTACCAGCAACTTTAGAGGAAATCGGCGACTTACTTGATAATAAATTATCAGACACATCACCAATTTTTCGCAAATTGCGATTAACTATTCTAGAGGATATCAAAGCAATAATATCTTGGTGATTAATTTAGCCCTCAATGAGTTCAAAAACGAGCTGACGCAAGCTACTGACTTTTTAGCTGCTGAACAGGCGGATTTGAAAGTAAAGGTAGAACAAAAAGATAAAGAAATTAAAGAATTACAGACTCAGACTTTAAAACTTAGAAAAGAAGTTTATACCTTCCATGGTCGACTGTTTACCATTGAAAAAATCTCTAGAGACAATAACTTGGAAATTAACGGCATACAGGATGGCCAGCGAGGATCTGTTTGGATTATTTCACATCCTTTGCAACACAATTAACTCGCCAGTTGCGGACAGCGACATTCGTGCCTGTCGCCGTGTGGCTAAGATGGATCACTGTGACACTGACGTCGCCGCGTATTCGTGATCGTATCCTTGTAGCCGTTAAGTTAAGTAAGTTAGTTCAATAAAACTCAAAGTGGCAAACTAAACTCGAAACACCTAAATATTGATGGTGCTACTAATAAAATATATGTCTCTGAACATATTTATCCTGATTGTAAAGCATTATTCAGAGAGGCTAGAAGGGTAGGCAAGGAGAAAAATTTTAAGTTTATTTGGGTCAAGAGAGGAAATGTGTACGCTTGCAAAGTTGAAGGTGCTCCTCCCGTACTCATCAAAAACAATGATTGCTTAGTTAACCTAGTTTAGTCATGTCTTCCATTTATTTGTTTATTTGCTTTTTTTGTTCACTTGGGTTAAGTTTACTTTGATAAAAGCTTGTGTTATTTTATGGGTAAAGGAAAACAAAGAAAGTATTTTACATTAGGTGTTTTGAATGTACGTTCGCTAAATACCGGTTTGGAGGAACTTAATCAAAGTATCCAAATTAAGGATCTTGATATATTATGTCTTAGCGAGACTTGGCTTCATTATCGTTCCAATATTGACTTGTATTCAATTTCTGGCTACAGACTGCTGCACAACCCTCGTATTGGTCGTGGTGGTGGTGTTAGTACTTACATAAAATCTAACTTACGTGCAAACCGCTTAGATCACCCCCCCCCCGGGGAACTTTAACAGATATGGTTTAATGTTAAAATAGGTAGTGAGACTGCTGTATTTGGTTCGGCGTATCGTCCTGAATCAGTGAGTGTTGGTTCAGCTATAGACTGTTTGCACGAGTCTATCTAATTTTTACAGTCTAATTTTACCGTGATCTGCGCAACTGTTATAACCGAGCAGTTACTCTAGAAAAGCAGGCATATTTTACTAGGTTTGTCAACCATAATAGGTCAAATCCTTCTCAGATGTGGCATCACATAATGAATTCCACATAAAAAGAATAATTTCAGCTGCCGCAAAAAACCGTTCCATACCCGACCATCTTCTTGACCCTGATTCACTTAATAATCACTTTATAAACACCATATCATATGCGTATCAAGCATATCAAGAAATCGAATCACTTAAACACTCTGACATCGAATTTTGTAGCCGTAAATAAAACGTTAGTTAAAAGTATAATTGCTTCTACATCTACTAATGCGACCGGAACTGATGTTGATGTTAAAACTTACGCTTCCATATTCGTTGTCAATGATAGTGGCGATAGTCAATAAATCTACATTGGAAGGAGTATTTCCAGAATCTTGGAAATTTACCATCGTCACTCCCATTTCTAAAAAATCAATGGTGGATAATCTTTCTGATATAAGACCAATAAAAATTCTTCCTGCACTATCTAAAATAGTTGAAAGATGAGTTCTTTATCAAATTTCACCTTATCTAGAACGTAATCAAGTACTACCTGTGATTCAATCTGGTTTTATATCACAGTTCAGTATCAGCTCTTTTAAATATTACTAATGATATTCTTGCGTCCAATGTGGGTAAGGGAACAATAATGGTTTTGCTAGACTTCAGCTGCGCTTTCGATTGCGTTGATATATGTGTCCTATTGGCAAAATTAAAATACTATGGTTTCACAGAATCGGCCTGCACCTGGTTTCAATCTTATTTCCGTAATCGTTGTCAAAAAGTGCAATGTTTGAATAGCTAAGGACTTCTAAATGTCTCCAACACGCTCCCCCTTAATAAAGGTGTTACCCAGGGTTCAATACTTGGTCCCACATTATTCGCAATTTACACGGCTATTGTTACTAAAGCTATAACTCACTCGAAAATTCACTTATATGCAGATGACAGCCAAGTATATGTTCACACAACGCCAATTGATGAGGAGGTTGCTGTTGCTATTTCCAAGTTAAACAAAGATCTTGATTCTATTGCGGAGTGGTCTTTGAAACATGGCCTGGTACTTAATCCCTTAAAGAGTGTCACCATTACACTTGGAACAAAGCACCAGGTAAAAACAATTAATGAACGGAAGTCTCTTGTTAAGATCTTTGACACCGTCATACCTTACGAGAGTTGTGTTCGCAATTTAGGTCTCCTCATGGATGAGAATTTAAAATTTGAGCAACATGTTCAGACTAAAATCGGCAAATGCTATGGTTCGTTATAAACTTTGTATATAATTCACTCATTTCTAAAACGTGACATAAGACTGCTGCTTTGTTTAGTACTATGCCACCTTCATTATTATGTGTTACGCGATATTGTTCATTGTCCATGCTTATTTCAAAAAACTGTGAAGAATTGGCAGAGAGTGCAGAACGCATGTATGCGTTTTTGTTTTAATATACTGAAAAGAGATAGGATTTCACCTTATTTAGTCAGTAATGGCATTTTAAACATGTGCAATAGTACTAAGTTAAAATATGCCTGCTTTCTGCACACTCTGCATCACGCAAAGTCTCCAAGATATCGGTATGATAAGATAGCCGTTGAAAAAAAAAGATTCCTATCAGTCAGAAAAATATTCATCGGCTTTCACTACCCAGGATTAGACTCGCTGGAGCCAGCGGGTGTTTTAAATTTGCCGCTGCTAAAATTTGGAACGATTTGCCACCACCAGTCCGGTCTACCCTATTTCCGTCTACCTTCCGACAAAGATGCCGCAAGTGGCTTATTCAAAATTAGTCCCTGGCTCTTTGTGGCTTTGATACCCCCTCAAATTAGACAACTTTTTTTTTGTATTTAGCAACTATAATTTATTAATTGTTTTTTTTATTGATACGTGTTGATACGTGTGTTTCATCAATTTCCTAAGATCCTGTATGAATTATGCGCAAAGGTTGTGGCAGAATAGCAGGAGTAATGGGTTTCCCGTTACAACTGAGTCACAGACCGTTTTGTCACAACTAATTATTAAGCTCTCTATTTAAATTTTAATTTTGTATTTCTGTGTAGCAAATAAATACTTTTTATTTATTTATATATTTGAGCTTAAGTTTAAAATTTAGAGACTCTGAAATAGAACCCTCAAAGATGTTCTATAAAACATCTTTGAGTACCCTGTATATCCCGAAGAGCCTACACTATAAATATAAATAGGTACATATCATGGGTGGGAACAGCTATTAGGATACCTACCTACATGGGTTAGGTAGTATCGTACGTACGCTATCGCCAATCCGTTATTTGTCTTTAGTAATAAATAAATGAGACTATGTTAAAATGTGGAATTAACTGTACCTAATAGTCACTCTATTACAGTTAATTCCACATTTTAACATAGTCTCATTTATTTATTGTTCTTTAGGCTAATATGGTGAGTTTATTGTAGTGAAAGCATTCTACACCAGCCTACTTAAATCTTCTCATGTGCCACGATGCGCGAGCACCAGGCTTCTCACTAATGCTATCAGGTACTTATTCTCGAAGGATTTGACCGAACTAATAAGTTCGAGGAGGTTCATGAACGCACAGCCAGTTTTTTTTATAGCATTGGGTGACAAACAAATACACAGTCCACCTGATGGTAAGTGGATGCTGTGGCCCATATACATCCACGTTTATCCTCAATTGAGAATCAAAATGCAAATGAGGTGTCACCCCTAGGACTAATATGGAATGCCTCGACTCCAGTAGAAGTGTCTCCGGTTCTCTATACTCAATATACGAAACACAGCAGCATTACGATGCTATTTTACGCTGGTTATTCTGTGTGAGCGTGGTCCTACCCCGATCGAGCCGACCCATTCGTGCTAAAGCTATAATATAGCTGCAGCGTGACTCTACCACGTAAGAAGTAAATTCAACAGGATATTTTAGATAATTCAAAGAGTGCACAGGAGTTGCTTAACTTAATCCTCCCTCTCGCTTCCACCATCGGACATACAGACTTTAGTTGCACTACACATTCGAACCAAACGGTTTGCTTCGTGGAATAATTTGTCAGCATCTGTCTTACCATCCCATTCCTATGTGGGACGGGGGAAGGACCACGCTCTCACAGAATACCAGTGTAAAACAGCAGCTCTATGCTTCTGTGTTTCGCAGAGAACCGGAGACCCGTTTTGCTGGATACGAGGCATTACATCTTGGTCCTAAAGGGTGATAACGCATTTTGATTTTAATCGAGAATTGATGTACATGTCTATGGGCCATACCAATCACTTACCTGTGGACTGTGTTCTCGCTTATTCTATTTTAAAAAAGACGTCTCTCAACATTGACACTGCTCCCTGTTGCCAGTCGAGGTATTTTACTCTACATCTACCAGACACCATTAGATCTTTCTGACATTTCAAATAGTTTACCCTGAAGACGAAATGTGGTGATGAACGTCTTCTAAAACAAAATTAATTTGTGTTTATTTTTTACATTTATTCAATTGAGACCATAATAAAATGTTTCTTTTTAATCCAAGCAACTTTGGCTGTAATCGGCTACATTTGATTCGGCCTAGCTGCTGCACAGAAATGATTAACTTTACCAACTTAAAGGTAACATCAAAATTCATTTGTTGTATTTATAAACATGTTTGTAACCGACGAGAGAGAATCCACTACCCCATATCAAACCGTGGGTTTCGTCAGAGGCGACAGTGGGATATGAAACAGATGATCACAGCCTCTTCCTGACAACTCAAAATAAGAAATAATCTGGTTGCCAATCTGCTGTCAAGCACGCGGCGTATAGGTATCCCCCTTTTGAGGCAATCTTTGGCTTTGAAAGTCCATCGCTGAACACAGACCACCTGTGTTCAGTGATGGAGTTTCTGATGATGATTTAAAAACAAGGAATTCTTACGTCAACCCACATCGCCACAATCGGCTCCTCATTAATTAAGGAATCTGTGTAATATGACTCTGGGTATTCAGGAGCTGTTCTTAAAAATATCCCAGCAATTTTTGTCTGTGAAAGAAATGTATTAATAAAATACAAAAAAAAAACATTGTTTGTAACAATAACTTATCTAAAATTTTTGT